GTACAGAATACCTTTAGATAGTACAGAATAACGCAGAATACCTTTAGATAATATAGAATCATACAGAATACCTTTAGATAGTACAGAATACCTTTAGATAGTACAGAATAACGCAGAATAGTTTTAGACAATCCATATTTATACGATGGGTTTTAAAAGCCACAGACTAGGCGAAATAAGTGTTTACAATTGCTAGAAACTTAATGCTCAAATGTCTGTGTTTTAGATAACTTACGTTAAATATTTCAATAACTTGTGATGAAAGATATTGTTACTGCTGGTGGAGAAGCTTATTTAGCATAAAAGGTGAAAATATAGTGCGTTATAAAGCTTAGATAATTAATGAAAAATACTGCTATCGCTCAAATCGTATGACGAGTGAAAAAACACATTGTGTGATATATAAACGTTAAAACTGTATACATTTAATGCGTCATGAGACTATACATATATAAACAAAGGTCTGACGTGTGTAAAATATTTCAATAAATCTGTGACGTAGCTTACGTAAATTCAGCTAATCAGCTCAGAAATTTCATAAGATTTGGTTAACACATATAAGTATACATACACATTGTACCTGCCGAATCTATATGTATGTATACTTATACACATATATGTATACATACATATACATTCGGCAGGTACAATGTGTTGCGTCTATTGTGGGGAAGATGAAAAAGTAATACAATGTAACGGACGTATAACGCATCTATAAATTGTATATATATAACAGCGCTAGTGTTTTTGTTTGAGGTAAGTCGCTTATATGATCTATTCTTCAGGTTCACTTCTTTAGATAAACATTTAGAAAACTGTTCACATACAAGGTCGAAGATTCTTAAAGGTATGGTTTCAATTTATGTTTGAATGGAGGTTGTCTAGTGTTGTAATTAAATAGTTAGAAACTACTGGCTGATCTCATTTTCTCATAATAAAGGGGGAAACAAAACATATCAAACCGATTAATTATGTGTGACTGTTTTCGTGTGTCATAAGACCGAATATGCAAGAGCTCTGCCTTGACTTCTAGTACAAAGTCTAAGTACAGTTTTAAACGCTAATAGATGTTAATCAAAAGCATGACATATTTATAGATGTTAACCAAAAGCATGACATATTTATAGATGTTAACCAAAAGCATGACATATTTATAGATGTTAACTAAAAGCATGACATATTTATAGATGTTAACCAAAAGCATGACATATTTATAGATGTTAACTAAAAGCATGACATATTTATAGATGTTAACTAAAAGCATGACACATCTATAGATGTTAACCAAAAATGACATATTTATAGATGTCAACCAAAAGCATGACATGTCTATAGATGTTAACTAAAAGCAT